AGTCTCCGCAGCATATCTTATATATCTTATTTAACACAAAATAAGACTGGTAAAAAGAAATAAGGTTAGCAAAACGCACAATACAGAGACACTGACATATTGACAGAAATCATAATGTGATAAAAGATTGTCTTTTACAACACATATAACATACAGTTTATTGAAGAGAACTAAAGGTCCTATACCACTTAACTATCATGTCTTCACTATCCTCTTGGAGCGCTGAACTACTTTGTAAATAGATCTATTACTTCCAGCGACTGCCTTCTGTGCTCGGGTAGCAGCAGCTGTTGCTACTGGGACGACTTCGAGCTCAGCGAGGGATTCAACTCGATGGCGCGAACAGTCATAAGCGATAATATGAATGTAACCATCCCTAGTCCAGCAATTACTTATGCCAAACTTCTGCCTGGCCACCATGAACATCATGTGATGATCTTTTGTTAAAAACTCGGACATGGTGACACCCGTGTCTTTCAGTTTTATTTTTGGAACCAAACTTGATCACGGACTCGGACATCCCGGAACTTTACAAGCAATGGTCTTGGCTTCTTTTCTATTGGATGTCCAAGGCGATGGCAACGGCTAATAGAAGTGTTAGACACATTGGGAATCTTGAGCGTGTCCATTATAAGGTTGGAAGCCATTGAAGATGTATCCTCGGACTTGTCCTCGGGAATCCCATGAAGCAGCAGAATCTTATGACGCCGTCTTATCTCCAAGCGGTCGATCTCTCTCCGAAGAAATTCAACCTGTTTTTGAACAGTTTCAAGAGCGGACAAGATAAACTTTCTGAATATTGCGAACTCCGTTGAGAGTACAGATATATTTGAGGCCACAGTTGGACTAGTCTTATTTAAGTCCTGCTGAAACTCATTCATACGAGTATTGAAGAGTTCTGATATGGCTGACAGTGATCCTTTGAAGGCTTCCATGGTTTTGTGTAGTGTTAGCAAATTAAGGAAATAATATATCAAGGAATCAAGGCTGGTAAACAGATGATTATTAAATATATGTTTTACACATTAAAATATTCTAATTTCTATTTTTAAAATATAAATTACGCGAGACTGATCAAAAACATGTGTTACTTATTTCACTCCTACCCACGAAAAAAAAGACAAGGAATGAAACGAAGAAGTGACACCAAAAAGAGACAAATATATTCATCTATAAGATTAAGCCCACGACAGAATGAGATAAAATACAGTACATAGTTTTTCATATTATTTATGTAGATTAAGATTTAAGGATTAAGGACTAAATTTGAATATAAGAAGACATTTAAGTACTGACTATGACAAAATTGATATCTCGGATAATGTATATAATGTAATGTCGTATGGTTTGTAAGCGCCTGCTTCTGCGCTGCACTCGTAGCTCGCCGCAAGAGAGGCGCCATGCCTTGATGCTTAAGTTCGATGTCCTTGTCTTGTACTGCCCCGGCTTGCAGCATAGTGTGTTACGCTTGCTGATGATCCACACTAGACATCCCAGTATAGCAGCTCCAAACAAGGTTTAGCAAATAAAATATTGGTGGATGTGATGACTTGAAATAGGTGACGGTAGTACTTGGTGTTCATGAAGATATAGTAGTTTCTTCCCGATTTCCTGCGTGTGCGGTTGGATTGTTTCGCGTCGATCGCTCAGTAAATAGTTGTGGTGGGTCAATTCGACGATATTGTTCACCGACGAGTTTAGTGTAGGGACCTCGTAATGGCGCTGCATTTTTTCTTTTAGCTCTTCCTTGTTTTCGACGCAGAGTTTACCCGTAGTAACAACGCCTCGCAAGGTACGTTTTTGTTGTGCAAGTTGAATACTGACAAATTCTTGTAGCAGATGTAGCGGCGCTCCGTTAGTTGAATGCACATTTTGGATTCACGTTCAGTTATCGAGATATAATTATCTTTCTGTAAATTTACAGCGATATTGTGATTACACTAGCACTATAGTAGTTTCTGTTTCGGTTCTTGCTCGTTTTCCTTTTCAGATTTTTTATATACCAGTGAGAGCGGTGACAGTTTAGTTATGGGGCGCTTGATTACACCAGTTTGAGTTTTTATAGTAGTAGTAGACCAGCTTTTCCAAAATTGTTGTAGCATATTTTCTGTGAGTTGCCAGCAACGGTGCAAGTCTAGAGTTCTGACGTCACTGTAATCAGAGAGCGGGAGTGAAAAAGTTGGTCCGCCGATGAGGAAATGGCCCGGTGGTAGATAGTTGCAGAATGCCTCGGGATCCTCGGTAATATGACACAAGGGTCGCGAGTTCATACATGCTTCTATTTGGGCCAGCAGCGTAGAAAACTCCCATAAGTGAGCTTTTGATCTCCCAAAACAAAGCGAAGGTGGTATTTGAGTGATTTTACAGCCACCTCCCAGAGGCCACTGGCTGTTGGCCTTACGGGGGCGTTGAAGTGCCACTCCACTTCTAGTTTGATGATCTCGTTGAAGAACTCTGGTGATAGAAGTTGCTTAAATTCTTCAAACTCCCTGCGCAACACTTTCGCGGTACCGATGAAGTTAGTGCTGCAGTCGGAGTATACATATTTGGGGGTACCGCGGCATGTGCACATACGTTGAAATGCGGCTATAAAAGTTTCGGTGCTTAGGTCCGATACAAGTTCGATATATATGGCCTTTGTTGGCATATATACGAAGATGGCTATATAGCCCTTCAAAGTTTTGACTCCTGTCCCTTTTTTAAGTTTGATCTCCACATGCCCAGTGAAGTCTACTCCGGTATGAGTAAACGGTCGGCACGGGGTGGTTCTCTGCTGTAGTAAATCGCTCATAAGTTGATAATTTTCAGTCGGCTTGCAACGATGACACCTGACGCAGTGACATAGTTTGTCCTTGACCACTCGGTTTTCGCCAACAATCTAATAGCGCTGTCGTATATATGATACAGTTAATTGCGCACTTCCATGCAGTGTCGTTAAATGGGCATGTTCTATAAGAAGTTGTGTATAGCGCCCATTGCAAGATACGATGATTGGATTTTTCATCTCAATCGGTAAAGTCGAGTAGTTGAGACGACCTCCTACTCGCATTATCCCTTTTTCATCCATATAAGGGTTAAGTTTGAAAATGGCGGCCTTGCTTGAAATTGTTTGTTTCTTTTGATGTAGTTTGTACTTGTTTTGAAATTTATTCCGCTGCACATACTTTATTATAAGTTTATTGGCCGTGCGGAGGTTGGCTGCACTGAGGAAATCGGTGTCCACTTTCACATTGTTGCGTAAGATTGTCGCAAAGCGCCGTACCCAGGTATAGCCTTATCACACGTAACAATGAGCTGCAATTATTTAATAATTTAGTTGTGAAGTGGACTGTACATCCATAAGTCGCTGGTTCATATCCGGCTCGAAGGAACATAAATGTTTGGTTTGTAAGGCCACACACTTTTAAGAAGTAGAGTTGTAGTTAGTTGATGAGCACGTCAAAAGAAAAAGATCACCAAAGTTAAAACTTAATTAAAAGTAAAATAATTATAAAGTTAGAGTGGCAAATATTTACTTGAGTAGTTGATGTTTAGAAGAACGGTTGTTAACGTACTGCAGATTGTCAGTTTGCAATTTAAAAAGTAAAATTAAATACACGCGACGCGTGGCTAAAAGCAGGTTATAAAAATGTGTAGAGTAACCATACAAATGTAATATACTAGGTTGATTAATAAGTTTTTGGAAACGCAATGCAACTCTAGGAAAGTATAAGTAAACTTACTTATTTTTCAACGTAATTTCCTTTAAGCTAATACGCCCTGAATAGCGTTTTGCAGTTTTGTTAATTTCCTTGGAAAAAAAGACTTGATCTTTGGACTCGGTCTCGTTTGCAAAACAAATATGACTTCAATATCACCCTATGAACGTGAATTAAATAAACTAATCTTGCTGTCTCAACATTAATAAGATTTCTAGTCTTTCTTTTTGCATATGCTGCAGAATTAAGTCTATCTGCCAATTTAGATATATGTATGGGGCCTCATTAAAGCTTCACGTCAATAGTAATACGAAGAAAAACAGTGATGTCCACAAGACTCAACTCCTTCCCATTTAAGAATACATTGTTAAACGAATATCTAACATTAGGTACTGTAATTTAATCCATTTTCTAATTGCCGTTTAAGAGCAAATTTTTGGCTTTAACCAATGTACTAATTTCGATAGAGCCTTGTCATAATTTACTGACTACCGTTTGAGTTTCAAAATTAAAGGGGTATCATCAGAAAAAATACTATATCGTGATTGTTCTCTACAAGATAAGGTAAGTAATTAATATAGATTAAGAACAGGAATGGGCCAATAATCGAGCCCTGAGGAACGCTCATAGATACTATAGATCCGGAGGAATCTTTAACATTGATAAAAAAAAATTTGTTCTGTTTTTTAAATATGAAATAATAAGTCTAAGCGCGTTACATTTGATACCGTAATGTTGCAGTTTCCTGAATAATATCTCATGGTAAACACAATCGAAAGGCTTAAAAAATCACAAAAATGCTTTTAGGTAGTATTTTGTGAATTCTCTCAGGCATTGAAAATTGCACATTTCATATGCTCAACAATCTGCGTCAGTCGTCGAGCTAGTAAAAGCAAATTGATTTTTATGCAGTAATTTATTTGAATAAAAAAAATAATAGATCCAAAATTATTCTAAATGTAACCTAACGGCATTTCTTAATATTTTTATAGGAATAGGTCTTAAGGCCATCAATTTTTCGCATAAAATCTTTTACACAGACTTTAATTGATATTTTTGATTTCCTATGTTCCTAGACCACATTTTTAATATGAGATTTTAACTTATTTTTCAAACTGAATTAGCTTCAAAAACATATTTATCTTTTAGGGATTAAACTCAACGTGTAGTGAAACCATTCAGAGTTATAAATAAGTAGATAATTATATATAAATTCTAGAAAACACGAATTTTCCTCTTTATCAGTTAAATAAAAAAACATTGACATAATATAATATGTACGTAGTGGGCACATCAACCAACCGTGCACGGTAACGTTGACGTGCTTGAGTAGGAGCGCGCCGACGCCGTTGTCTGCCGTGCAGCGGTAGGCGCCCTGCTGCGAGCGCACCGCCGCGCGGGCCGCCAGCCGCGCCCGCGCCACGCTACCCGCCACCTGATGCTCCGCACCGCCCGACACGTACGAAAATCCTGCGTTTTCCCCCCACCCCGCTCCAGTTGCCTCCCAGTGGTCCATTGCCTCTAAATCGCTACCTGAGTAAACATAGTAATATGCGGGCTAGTGACGAATTCCGCAAACAGTCCAACTGTATATAACATGTTGTATATCGCAAGCTGCATCTTACAGATGTTGATTATACTTGCCATCGGATAAATGCCACATCGATTTTAGATTCATCATTAATGAAGAAAAATGATCAACTTGTAACTAGAAAGATGAAACCATAATCAATCAATATTATTGAGCAACCCGAGTAACGTGCGGTTGGGATTGAAAATGGCGTCATCGAATCAATGATAATAAAATACCATAAACTACAAAAATTCAGTCCGGTTTTGCTAATTTTGTAAGCTACAAAGCGTTATAAGAGTTTTGTTCATATTTATTGTTGATTTCGCTTGTTGATATTTTTGTATAAAATATTCACATGCGTGCCATTGAGTCATGAGTAACCATTATCAAAAGATTCGTTTTGTATCTCTGTTTGAGTAATCTTCAGAATAGATGAAGCGATTTTAATAAATCTTTACGAACAAATTGAGAGTAATACCAGGAGTGATTTAGACTAAAGTTCATCTGAAAAATAATGGGTACATTATATTTTTAAAATATTTTCCCATTAATAGAAATTTTCAAATTAATCGAATAGTATGACTTTATAGCGATATACCGTTATTAGCAGGTTTTCGCTGTCGGTATGTGCATGTTAACGGTATGGTATGTATATATAACGGTATGGTATGTTAACAATATTATGTAAATAGCACCATACTATATCTAAACTAACAATAACTATATCCACAATGTTAACAATTTAAATGACGACTTACCTAGTCTTCTGAACCATGTCATAACTGGCGTTGGGTAACCTTTAGCCGCGCATTCTAGTATAAAAGGTGCTCCCAGTAATACAGCCACGTCTAAGGGTTCCGTAATCCATGATGGTGCAACTGTAATTATATAAAAATAGTTAATAAGAACCGTAATAGGATCAGTATAAATATCCTTGGGCGAAAAAACTATGCATTATCAAAATGCTACACAATGTGGATATTGCACCAAAATTACACCAAAAATTTACTTATTATTGTTATTATATGACCTTGAACATTAATAAATGTTGTCACATAAAATTTTCCCCAAAATTTAACAAATTTCCTAGCTCTTAAAACATAAACGGAACGGTGTTGAACAGAGTCGATCAGGTTAGAGACTTGAGTATTGCTCTCGATTCTGAAATGAGATTCACAAACTATATTACGAGTAATAACACGGCTAACAAATGTTTTAGAATGTTAGCGTTTGTCTTAAGAAACTCAAAAGAATTCAAATCTGTTCAGGCAATCAAAGTTTTGTACTTCGCCTTCGTACGTAGCCATGTGGACTATCGTAGTTCAGTTTGGTAACCATTTTATCAGAATAATGTTCACCGTATCGAAAATATTCAAAAAAAGTGTGTGAAAAGAATCTCGTTTATCAATGGTAGTTACCGCAGTGTAGTAGTTATTCTGGTTAAAACACTTTAATTTACTATCATTAAAGCAACGTTAGGTAATTATAAACCATTTTCAATATCCTTGAGAAAAACGAAATATGGTAGTTCCTCTCCTATTTGTACAATGTTAAAAAATTATAACTTTTTATTTCAAAATGGTAATTTAGATATCTTCTGTGAAAAGGTAAATACTTTTAAAAATTAATTTTGGTTTCTTATAGGATTTATTTTTAGTTTTGCCATTATTGTAAAATAAAGTTCTTTTATATTTTTACTAATTTAAAATGTTTAATTTGTAATTTGTAAAACAACATCTTTATTAAAATAAGAATGTTGTGCGAACCATTATTTTAAATGCATATGTATAATGTATTTCTTCAAAAAAATGTGATATCATAAGTTTCTTTTATGTATTTAGTTGGTAAGCCTTATTAAATAAAATAAAAATAAAATATTTTAAAAAATAAACCTTTGACACTAAGAGTGGCGGTGTAGTTTGCAGTAGATGCGTGGTTCGACACACTACACGTGTAGTCCCCACTGTGGCGCGCCGTTAGATCCGAGAACATCAACAGTGAAAATTCGTTTAAGCTCTTCTCTTCTATCTGCGAACAATAAATAAGTAAGAGAAACATGATCGATGGAAAATGATTACATATTATAATATTGAAAATTTTTACGCAAAATTGGACTTCTTACATAAAATAACACTAAGAAAAATTATATAATTGCTTATAACGAAAGAGATTATGAAAAAGTCTGCTTAAGAATATATTGTTAGTAATATTAGTAAAATATAAGTAAATCTTAACCTGCAAGTCAGTGGGAATTGGATGACCATCTTTAAGCCATGAAAAGTACATGGGCTTGTCTCCAGATGATACTCCGCATAGAACTTGCACAGCACTGCCCTCAGTTAATTCCGAAGAGAACATGAATGGTGATATTTTGGGAGGATCTGTGAATGAAAGTATTGAGTCAGTCTCATAGTCAGACAATCAACATAATTATTTACGTTTTATTTCATTGGAGCGTTTTAAAGTATTTGTCAACTGTAATAGACTGGTCAAAGAGTGACAAAATATTTTCGTGTTAGGGTAGTGCTGTAGTGGGTGATGCTGTAGTAGTAATAAGTCCTCCAGATTTTGGTAACAGCAGCCAATCGCAATGGAGACTAGCCATCTACGCAGGTTAAGATTACAATGCATGAGTGTGTGCAAGCACAGGTTGTACGCTCTAATTTCTCAGTTGTGACACATGACCAACAGCTTTACGTATTTTCCGAGGCAAAATATGCAATGTCCTCACTCCAGGCTGCTACTGAGAATTTCTTGACAGAACTGATTTTGGCCCGAAACGGGATTCAAATTCGTGAAGCTATGATCGATAGATGCACTCTCAATCACCAGATCAACGAGGCGATAAGCTACAGTACAAATGGGTCAATACAGAATACATGTAATTATTATCGAAAGTCATTTTTGCTCATTTTTAACGTTGGTGCGAGAAAAAAGAAAAAATATATATAAGAATGCTGAGGTGGTACTGACTGCGGACTTGTATATCGATATCGCCGGCAGCCGTGGCTCCGCCGGGCGCGGTGACGCCGCACGTGTAGCGCGCCGCGTCGCTCGGCCGCGCCGGCTGCAGACGCAGCGCGTCGTCGCGCGCCGCCGCGCGCCCCGCCGCCGCCAGCGCCGCGCCCCCCTGCGCCGCTCGCATCGCCCGCCCGCCGCCACCACACCGAGCTACGCACATCATGCACCTGTTTTTTTGCTACGTAGATGCATCAAGACCATGCTCCATGTTGCAGCACACCAAAAGTACGACACATAATTGTAATACGGTCAGCGTACCCCTTTTTATCGCGATGGAGGGTAATGTATCAGCCTACATAGGCTCCGTTAGGGAAAAAGTTTCTTCGTATTTTGTTTGTATAATACTGAAGAAAAATCTCTTTGGTTGTACTGTGTTTATAATGCTAGTTTTAATATCAATAATAATAATTATTATTATTATACACGCTTGACCAAAGTGCTTAACAGCCTTTTGTCCGATGTGAATAAGGCACACGCATATAACTGCTGGGTCATGCCTGTCCTCATGTATACCTTTGGCATACTCAGGTGGACTCGGACTGAACTTAACGCCCTGGATAGAAAAGTCCGCACTACCATGACGTCCCATAGGATGTATCATTCGAGATCGTCGGTAATGAGGCTCTACTTGCCGCGAAAGTATGGTGGGCGTGGCTTCCTGAGCGCACTCACCATGCATAATCGCGAAGTGTGCAGCCTCCGTGATTACTTCCTGGCGAGATCGGATGATCCATTCTATAATGACATCATTTCTAGTTATAGAGGGCTTACCCCTCTATCCTTAGCCAACGAGCAATGGCAGGATCCGGCAACATTTCCGACCGGGAGACCATATGAAAGGAGAAGGAGCTCCACGGGAGGTACTACAGGGCTCTACATGAGCCCTTCGTAGATACAGTCGCCTCCCTCAACTGGCTACGTTTCGGTGACCTTTTCGGGGAAACCTAGGGTTTTTTCTGTGCAATACAGGATCAGGTTATTAAGATCAACAACTATCGGAGATCCTAAAGGATGGCACTGTCGACGTCTGTCGAGCTTGTCGCCATCCCAGTGAGTCACTTAGGCATGTTATCTCCGGTTGTTCGGCGCTTTCTAATTCTGAGTACTTGCACAGGCACAACCTAGTAGTCAGAATTCTACATCAGGAGCTCGCTCTGAAATACGGTCTCGTGGACCGGAAATTGCCGAATTACATGTACTTTCCGGAAGCCGTGCTCGAAAATGACCGCGCCAGGCTCTACTGGGACCGACCATCATCACAGACAGGACTATTCTTACGAATAAGCCTGATATTGTGCTGATGGACCGGGCACAGTCAAGGATATTTTTGATCGACATTACCATTCCGTATGGCGAGAACCTCGTGAAAGCCGAAAAAGATAAACAAACAAAATATCTGGACCTCGCTCACGAGGTAACAGACATGTGGGGTGGTCTGCCGGCCGAAATCATTCCTGTAGTCGTCTCTGCGAATGGGCTAATCTCAGTCAGCCTCTCGGGTCATCTGAAGCGACTGGGACTCCGTGACGGACCGCTCCGAGCTCAAATGCAGAAGGCGGTGCTCCTGGATACCGCCCGCATCGTTCGCCGGTTTCTTTCCCTTTCCTCCTAACCCTCGGCCGTTTGGTCTCCACTGCCTAGGGGTTCCATCTGGTTGGATCTTATTTATTTATGTATTTTTTGTATTTATTTCATTTTATTGATATTTATGTGTATTTATCTTTTCATTTTAACTTTAAATTATATATTTATAGAACCCAACCAGATGAGAAAATTATAAAGATACCCCAAAATAATAATGTACATCAGACCGAATTTCGGTCACGGCGGCCTGCCTCAACGGAGGCTAGCCATCGGTGCAGGACAGGATTATAGTGGCCAAGTGTATGCGCTAGCACAGGTGCACTCTCTATTCCCTCACTCTCATAATCCGGTGGGACGGTAAACCGACACGACCGGAGAGAGATCAGGCGCAAGACCAACAGATTTTACGTGCTTTCCGATGCACGGGGGTGAGAAACCGCCAACTTCCTGACTCCGGGCAGCTACTGAGAATTTCTCGTCGGAAAAACTCAATAATTAATTTTTTGACCCGACCCGGGATTCGAACCCAGGACCTCAATCAGCAGTCGCACTACTACAACCACTAGACCAACGATTCAGTCTTTAATATCAATACATATAGGACATTAAGAAAAAAAGTACACACCCCCCATTCCGCCATTTATCAATTGTTTTTATGTCCGCCAAAATGAGTGAATCTAATAAACTTGATACATTCTGAAGTTTTATTACAAAAAATTGAAAAATCTCAAATCGCGACTCGACAAGCAAAAAAAATTGTGACATTTATGGACCTAATGCAATGTCAGTAAGACAAGCGCAAAGTTGGTTCAACCGTTTTCAGTCCACGAATTTAGATGTCAAAGATACAGCTTGCTCTGGTTGTCCTCATACAGATAAAATCGATTCCATTTTCGAAAACGTGGAGCAAGCTAGACTAAAAATAGATATCTTAATCTTAATATATATAAATTACGTGTCACGTTGTTTGTCCACGATGGACTCCTAAACTACTTAACCTAATTTAATAAAATTTGCACACCGTGTGCGGTTTGGTCCAACTTGAGAGATAGGATAGTTTTTTTGCCCACAATTTTTAATAATTAGATTTATAAACAGAACGATATCTGCCTGGCAAGCTAGTAATATATATAATATAAAGTCTGGCTATACAAAAAAGCTCAATATTTTGGGTACTACACGGGCTCACTGAAAGAAACCTAATGAATTGTGTACTCATTTACGATTTTCTATTGAAACGTAATAAAATCGAACCACTTTTGAAAATATTGATAACTGGAATTGGATCACCTTAGACCAGAACTAACGATAAAGATCATAGTTAAAGGGTAATCGGTGAGTCAAACGCTCCACAGACTGTAAAAAAACCGGATTAACACGCAATAAGGTGATGCTGTTTATATTGTGGAATTGGAAGGGCATCGTTTATTTTGAGGTAATACCCCCGAGCAAAATCGTCGATTCGGATCTCTACTATCAACAACTTACTCAAAACAAAAATGAGACTAGAGCAAGAAATTGTGAAAAAACTTCCGAAATTGATCAACAGAAAAGGATTGGTTATTCATCATGATAATACCAGACCACACATTTTTTGCCCCTCAGCTAAAATTGAGAGAGCCCCCCTCCCCCTCAACCCCTCAGATTTTCACTTATTTCGGCCTCCTCAGAATCGTTTGGGTAGTGTTATGCAAACATCAAGAAAGGACTGTCAAAAGTACTTTTCGCATTTTTTTTTTGATCAAAAATCTCAAGATTACTATAGCAACGTGATTACATCACTACTTAAAAGATGGCAACAAAGTAACGAATAAGGTAAGTTTTTCTTTTATTCATACGCTATTTTATTTCACTCAGCTTCAAATCTTAACATCCAAAAATTTGTATTTTTGTTGCAAGGCAAAGTAAGCAATAAGAAATATTATCTTGTTGTACGACGAGAAAAGAATAGGTCATATCGATTGACGTAAGAATTATCAAAATCGTTCCACGCGTTTGGTCTCTAAACATCCACAAAGAAACAAACATATATACATGCATATATAAATATATGGTCAGAAAAAAAGTTTCTTAGTATTTTATATCAAAGTTCAATACATTATTTTATCAAAGTTTTATATATATATAATACAATACATATATTTTATCAAATTTATATATATATATATATATATTTTATCAAAGTTTTATATATATATATATATATATATAAAACTTTGATAAAATAATGTATTGAACTTTGATATAAAATACTAAGAAACTTTTTTTCTGACCATATATTTATATATGCATGTATATATGTTTGTTTCTTTGTGGATGTTTAGAGCCCAAACGCGTGGAACGATTTTGATAATTCTTACGTCAATCGATATGACCTATTCTTTTCTCGTCGTACAACAAGATAATATTTCTTATTGCTTACTTTGCCTTGCAACAAAAATACAAATTTTGGATGTTAAGATTTGAAGCTGAGTGAAATAAAATAGCGTATGAATAAAAGAAAAACTTGTTGGTAATTAAAATAAATTCAAAGAATGGAGATACAGTCTAGCAGTGGTCTACACAATATTTATTGTGAAGCAATCAAATTAAAACCATGCAATTATACAATTTTATAACAATAGTTCTTTCAATCTTTATTAAATTCTCTACATTTACAGGGTACACTAGGTTATCGACTTTGTCTATATCATTAAGTATCACTAAAAGTTCAGATGAATTAATAATTGATTGGTGTAATACTGAAACTTTACTAAAACCTAAAGTAGTTTCTATTTCACTAAGTTTAAGGTAAATACTACGAAAGTTACTAATAATCATATTATACATGCCTAAAATATATGTGTTATAAATTGAATTATTTTTTTGGTAGCTATGTATTTTACTATTCGTTCAATTCTTCTTAAGGGTTCATCTAATATTAGTTCATTTTCATGTAAAGTTTCTGTACTATTCGCCAAGCTATTCAGCATTTTAGAAACAACGGTGATTTTACTATCAACACTTAATTGGTTGTTCTTTAATTTAGATATAACGAAATCGTATCTAAGAGCATCTTTGTAATCTAAATTGCCGGTGATTGCTTTAATGACTTATCCTATGGGATCTATGAGACCTCTTTTAAATTTATTGGATGGCACAAGTTGCATAAATGTTTCAATAGTTAAATCGCAATAATAATCGTCTTGGGTTTTCATGGCTTGGAATTCATAAGCATAAGGTTTATTAATATCAACTAACCCACTAAAATCTTTAAACTTAATAATATTTAAATGTAAATTTTCCTTAATTCCTAATAAGTTCACTTCTTTAACTATAAGCACCTGCTTGTTTGCTTAAAAGCTTGGCCTTCTTTTACATGAAGCAGGCTTAGGTTGCTGCCAATTTTTTGAAGTTGAAGACTGCGGGTCCAAAGTATACGAGCCATAGTCAGGATGGCTACGCACCACCGGTGGAGGTCGTTTGAAATTTTTAATAAGGACCTTTGTATCCTTTTCACCTATTTTAACAGGAACGATATTACGTTCTGCAGGACCTTGAATAACAGCTTTCCTGTGGCTAGGTTTTTCCTTACTT